GGTGTGTGTGTGTCAAGGCCGTAAAATATGACGCAATCAAATTAGCTACATTGAAGTTGCGCAGAGGTAGGATAGATTCTGAATGCCTTAAGGAGTGTAGGCATGCTGGAAGTGATTGGGCATTTCTTGAAAAGGGGGATAGGAATGTTGGAGAGATTATGGCATAATGGAGAGGGTTTGGGGGAAGTTGAAGAGGATATAGGCATGATGACGAGGGAATAAATATATGGGGGAGTATGGGCAAGCTGGGGGAAGGTATGAGCAGGGTGGGGAGGGCCCTGGGTAAACTGGGGAAGGTATGAGCAGGCTGTAGAGGGCCCGGGTAAGCTGGATAAGTACGACACAACGCTCTTCTCTGTGTAGAGCTTTATCAAATTGTATTTCGCTCTACGCAGAACGAAATATAACTTGACGAAGCTCTTTCCAGAAAAAAACATTATCCAATATAATCCGTTCTACCTGGCTCTTCTTACTTGTCAACACAACAACATTCTACATAGCAAAAGGGATTACATTGTTGTTATTGTCGTCATCCCTCACCCGAGTCATGCTTCTCGTCATCCCTCACCCGAGTCATGTTTCTCGTCATCCCTCACCCGAGTCATGCTTCTCGTCATCCCCCACCCGAGTCATGTTTTCGTATTCCCCCACCCGAGTCATGTTTCTCGTCATCCCCCACCCGAGTCATGCTTTTCGTCATCCTCACCCGAGTCATGCTTCTCGTCATCCCTCACCCGAGTCATGTTTCTCGTCATCCCTCACCCGAGTCATGCTTCTCGTCATCCCTCACCCGAGTCATGTTTCTCGTCATCCCTCACCCGAGTCATGTTTCTCGTCATCCCTCACCCGAGTCATGCTTCTCGTCATCCCTCACCCGAGTCATGCTTCTCGTCATCCCTCACCCGAGTCATGTTTCTCGTCATCCCTCACCCGAGTCATGCTTCTCGTCATCCCTCACCCGAGTCATGCTTCTCGTCATCCCTCACCCGAGTCATGTTTCTCCGTCATCCCTCACCCGAGTCATGCTTCTCGTCATCCCTCACCCGAGTCATGCTTCTCGTCATCCCTCACCCGAGTCATGTTTCTCGTCATCCCTCACCCGAGTCATGCTTCTTGTCATCCCTCACCCGAGTTCATGCTTCTCGTCTTTCCTCACCCGAGTCATGCTTCTCGTCATCCCTCCCCGAGTCATGCTTCTCGTCATCCCTCACCCGAGTTCATGTTTCTCGTCATCCCTCACCCGAGTCATGCTTCTCGTCATCCCTCACCGAGTCATGTTTTTTCGTCTTTCCCTCACCGAGTCATGTTTTTTCGTCATCCCTCACCAGTCATGCTTCCTCGTCATCCCTCACCCGAGTCATGCTTTCCGTCATCCCTCACCCGAGCCCATGTTTCTCGTCATCCCTCACCCGAGTCATGCTTCTCGTCATCCCTCACCCGAGTCATGTTTCTCGCGTATGATAAAAAAACTATTTAAAACATAAAAGGCACAATACCATGGCTGGAACAATACACAAATAACCCGCACAGGGGAGAAAGTTAAGGGCCCCGAGTCGGACCGAATTGTCGTCATAAGTTTTTTTCCCATTTGTTTGGGTTATTTATGTAAAGAAAAAATAATTTATTTTCAATTTGTTTATAGAAGATATCAGAAATAATATCGTTGTAAAACTGAGAATTCATTTAGTTTTACTCTCAAATTCAGAAAAAACCCCAATTATTTTAAAATAAAGTTCAGAAAATTTGTTCATTATTAACAGAAAAAAGTAGAAAAAAATATTCATTTAGACCTTGAAGTATATACACGCTGAGAGGTTTTATATATCTGAAATATAACTCGTATATATTGGAGTTTTCTGTGATCTACATTTTAGGTTTTTAAAATATTCGTGGGTGGTGGTTAACAGGATACCCGCAGCCTTAGTACGGTAGATTGGCTTTAAACCCCATTAACCAACCTACCTTGAGGTACAGTTAACGTATTTATTCACTCCATACAATATTGTAAATTTTTTTTATACCAACTCTGAAATTCTGTAACTCAGTTTATTGATACTAGGAAATAGATAACACAAGTTTATTTCTTGAAATTCAATAAATCCGTTAATTTATTTCTTAAAATGCAGTAACCCCGTTTATTCATGCCATGAAATACAGTAATCCTGTTTATTCATACCTTGAAATACAGTAAACCGTTCGTGCATATGAAATACAGTAAACCACTTTATTGCCTTGAAATAAATTTAAACCAGTTTATTCCTACTATGAAATACGATACACCTTTATATATACCTTGAAATATATTACACCCAAATTTTTACATACAGTACATTCGTTTATACATACCATGAAAAGATCAAAAAGGCACAAAACCACGGAACAATACACAACCCGCACATATGAGAGCAGAACTGACGACGACGTTTCTGTCCGACCTGGACCATTTGACTTTGTAAATGGTCCAAGTGTAACCGAAATGTCGTCGTGGGTTCCTCTCGCCTGCGTTGTGGGTTATTTATATATACCCCCGAAAAACAGTGATTTCCCGTAAATTCCTTTCAACACGCCATCAACGAGCAGCAAATCACGATCGTGTTTAGTAAAATAATAATATAATAATAATAATAATAATAATAATAATAATAATAATATCTTTTTTAAAATACAAGTACATGTACAAGGTATATAGACTACTAAAATCAATGACTTATTAATATATAAAAGCCCCTTGTATGCAGAGCATTTGGGGAAAAATTTAGTAGGGGTAGTTGTGACCAGGGCGGGAAACGGGGTGATCGGAAGGTGAGGCAGTTATGTCAACTTAGTGAGACCAGCACAACGTTCTTCCTCAGGACGTCACTGGCAATACTAATAAAAAAGCTTTTCGGGGCTGACACTTAATTATCACCTTTGTTTTCTTTCTCTTTTTAAAAACTTTTTGTTGCTTCCTTTTTTTTTTCCTCCTCCTTTGCTCTTTTCCCCTTTTCACTCTCTTTTTTTTTTGTCTTTGTATTTGTCTCCTTCATAATTCACTTTTTTTTTTCCACTTCTCCTGATCTTCACTCTCTCGGAGAGAGAGAGAGAGGAGAGAGGAGAGAGAGAGAAGAGAGAAGAGAGAGAGGAGAAAAGGAGGAGAGAGAGGAGAAGAGAGAGAGACAAATAGAAAACAGTGAGGAAAGGCAGTGCAATAAATAGGAAAATTAGAACACATTCATTTTCCCATACCCCTGAAAACCCTTCCATTTACCTATCGACACCGGGGGTCTTTAAAGACTGCACCCACAACCTTTTCATTTTAATCCCTAAGTAGGGATAAAAGAAGCTATCGGTGTTATTCGTTGCATAATTTAAAGGCCTGTATGATCCCTAGGGGCCTTTAACTGCAAATATATATAATAACTGTAAAGCAAGCCAAGAAATTAAGGCCCAAAAAGGGGGTTTCAAACGTAAAAAAAAAAAAATTTAATTATAATTTTGATAAATATTTTTCAAAAAAAAATGAAAGTACTTCGGCAGGTAAAAGTTCTTTCCCCAAGTTTTAGATTCTTAATTAAATTATTATATTTCCGCCAGTAGATGTAAAGTTAAATACAAAGGAACCAGCAATAAATTCCTGCAATTGGGTCACAGTTCTTTACAAAACACATGACTGTTAGTCACTTTGGGGATAAAGCAGCACCCCGACTCGGCAGGAAGGGTGACGTCTAGCCCAGGGGCTGGTTTTAAAACCCATAACTTTAAAATAAAAATATTGGTAGTATTTACATCACACATTATGAAAATTCGACTCTGTTATCTCTTTAAAGGTACATAGAAATTTATATAAAATAAATGGGGGTATGCAAAGGGGCTTCCTCTCTTACCGTCTACATACTGTTGACTGTACTAGCAATGACAGGACCAATAAATTTTCTATTTTCAGTCGTTTAAAGGATGTCCATGTCCTAGGTACCGATAATAATAAAAATAAAAATAAAAATAATAATAATAATAAAAAAATAATAATAATAATAATAAAAATAGCAATAAAATAATAAAAAATAATAATAATAATATTTAAAAAAATAATATAACTTTTAAAAAACAGAACAGCAACAACAACAACAACAAAACAGCACAAAAAAAACAATAATAATTAACAAATTTTAATGATAGTATATTATTAGAAAATTTTATTTCTTTCCTCTCATTATCTTTTAACTTTTTTTATCACTATTTTTAATAAATTAAAGAAACAGACGGCGGGGATATCAACGGGGCAGTAATTTGATCTGACGCACAAAAAAGACGTTTGTTGACAAATTACATCTTCACGTCTTCCAAGATTTTTTTTTCCCTGTAATGACTGATAAAGCCATGGTTGGGCAAACGTCTCCTAATAAAAATACCCCGAAGCGCACATGTTTTTATTCATCACTTTTTGGGTTTTGAGACAAAAAAAAAAAAACCCGTTTTTTTTTCCCCGATTTTTTTTAAATTTTTTAATAGCAACAAAAAAAAAGATCGATCAGGAAAAGGGGCGTCTCGAAAGGGTTTCCAGGACTTCAACTGTCACGTTTGGCGGTTCCAAAGTGCGCTGAGGCTTTTGGGGCACGTGTACATCAAAAGACTGGTCAGACTGCGCGAAATTTTTGGGTTACAGACGTACATCAAAACGACTGGGTCACACATGCTCGAAAATGTCTGGGCCAGACGTACAAAAAAAAGCTGGGTCAGACATGCGTCGAAATGTTGGGTCAAGACGTACATCAAACGACTGGGTAGACATGCGTCGAAATGTCTGGGTCACAGACGTACATCAAAACGACTGGGTCAGACAGCGTCGATATGTCTGGGTCACAGGTGTACATCAAAACGACTGGTCAGACATGCGTCGAAATGTCTGGGTCACAGGTGTACATCAAAACGACTGGGTCAGACATGCGTCGATATGTCTGGGTCACAGGTGACATCAAAACGACTGGGTCAGACTGCGTCGATATGTCTGGATCACAGACACAATGAGACGTCTGGTACTTCTTGTCTTCACGCAGAATGCATATTCAAAAAACATTCTTTTCCTGTAGTTTAACCTTCGTCGATTAAACTCTCGCAATTTCATTGTGTGATTTGCTAGTAAAAAATGATAAAATGTTTTTAAACGAGGAGATTCCTGAGCACAAAGCTTCAGGTAAAAGAGTTAAAGTTTTGGGACAGGATATTCATCTTTCTCTTCCTCACTTAATGGTCGTACATCTTACTTTCTAAATCAATTGCTTGTTCTTTTTAGCGTTAGTATTTCCCCTCACTCTCTGGCTTCCAGGCTTTGAGGTAATGTGACATGACATATCTAATACATTAAATTCCTGAAGTATTTGAGGTGATCAACGTCCGGGGACCGAAAGGTCTTCGGTAAAGGTGTCCAAGAGAACTGCCTTCTCACTGCACGTCAGGTGGAATGTTCAGCCACTTCTGGAGAAGGTGTGTTGGTTCGGATAAGCCAGAGATTAAGGCTGAGATATATAGGGAGTGTGTGTGACTTCTCAGGGGGGCGGAGACGGTGAAGGTATGAAAACTCTTGGATTCTTTTATTAATTTTTTTTTTTTGGATTCAACTTCACTGTGTGGCTAACTCTATCTAAATGACATTTTACGAGGGCAAAATATATTCCATCATACGGAATTATTTTTCTGTTCTATTTAAATACAGAATAATTTTCAAGTAAATAACCATCATGCAGCATGATTTTTCCATCATGTTATTTACGTTTTCCATCACGAAGGATGATTTGTCTATCATATTCCATTACACAGGAAGTTTTTTAATGTCTTTTAAGCCCTAGACAAGAAGATTTTGCTTCATATTCCATTACACAGAATAATGTTCAAAACACCATCGTGATATCTGTAAGCCTGTAAGGGGATTTTCGTCTAGATTCTCACTATGAATTAAGTAGGTACGGCAGGTTTAAAGGTTTTAATGCAGCTGAGTCGCTTTTACATTAAGGTGAAGTGAGTGCTGTGGGAGGTAAGGGATTATGTCTGGTGTGGGAGGGAAGGGGTTAAAGCTGAGTGACTGATTAGAAGAGGACGGGAGGGGAGAAGTGAGAGAAAAGAGTATTGGGGTTAGAGGTTTGGGATTTAGCAGAGACCAGCCAGTTTAAATAACACGAGACTGATAAACAGAAAAAATTTTTATTTACTTTAAGACTTAGGTAATAGACAGCAAATGTTAAACTGCTGTTGACTGTTTAAAAGTGCAGGATAATACTGTCACAGTCTACCAGGAATGTAAGAGGCAATAAAAATGACCCTAGTGCTGAGATACTGTGAACAAGAGTATCTTTGCTATGTCTTATTTTGTCCCAGTGTGTCTTTACTGGCCCTGGTAAATCCTTAATGTGCCCTGGTGTGGCTTAACTCTGTTCTAGTGCCAGGCACAACTATCCCCATGGTTTGAAATCTTAAAGATAGCATCGCTGGCACGACTGCCAGAGTGCACCAGGGATAGGGGAAAGTGCAGTTCCTACGACTATCTTTCACACGACTTGAGCAAGGTTTAAGGGTGGTGTCCCTTTCACTACTACTACAGAACGTCATATAACAAAAAAACGCTGAGATATGTCCCTTGATTCTGTGTTGTAGGGCGAAGGATCTTCAGGCTGGAAGAAAACAGGGCTCCTGACCGGTATTATCGGATGAAGGATAGAGACTTTCCTTCAAATTTTTGTCCTGAATGGACCCACACGGTTTTTGTGTGTCACACAAATAGGATGACTGATTTTAATGCATTTTTACACACGCCCGCACGCACCCCCACATACGGGACCAGGAGCTGTCACTAGACCCCTGCAACCACATTTAGGTTAGTACATATAGGTGAACGAACAAACACACAAACACACAAACACACACACCAAAACACACACACCACACACACACACACACACACACCACACACACACACACACACACACACACACACACACACACACACACACACACAAAAGTAGACAGAATAAAAATAAAAATTATGCGTTTTAAATGGTTGGCCATAAAAATCAATTTGTTGAAACAACACAAAACTTAAATTAACTTAATAACTAACTTAATAAAATAATAATAATAATAATAATAATAAAAATAATAAAATAATAATAATAATAATAATAATAATAATAATAATAAAATAATAAGATAATACAATTAAAATTAACAAAGATAATATTAACAATAATAATATCAACTTGAATACCGGCGAATCAAGAAGAAGAAAACTTAGAAGAAGACTAACTTGTATATAAGGACTTCAAGTTGGGTGGGAGGAGAGCCGAAGGATCAGAGTTCAACCACAGTCAATAATCTAAAAGAAAGTGACTCTTGTTATCCAGGACACACCTTGACCAACTATATTCCATTAAATTCTTAAGTATATTTTCTAAGAAACATTAACCAACCTCTTTCTGGCAGTGTCCTGAAATTTCTGTCAAGGCAGATAATTTGCCGCTTGACCTGGCAAAGCTGTTTTGTGTATCCTGTGGTGAAGGGGAAGAAGAAGAGAGGATGGGAAGGGGGGAGGAAGGGAAGGAGAAGGGAGAGGGAAGACGCTAACTCACCATTATTAATCCTTAACCATGTATACATATCTATGCAATAAGATCACAGTAAAACAGGTGATATCGCAATATGCAAAACAAGAAATAGAAAAAGAATAAAAAAAATTCCAAGCGCTTTCGTAGCTTCTCACATTATCAAGGAACTATAGTTCCTTCAAATGTGAGAATCACGAAAGCGCTTGGAATTTCGCTATTCTTTCACATGGTTGTTTTGCATATATATCTATTTCTGTATCTATCTATAAATATATACATATATATATATATATATAAAATATATATATATATATATATATATATATATATATATAATATATAAAATATATATTCCCCCCAAAATGCTGATGGATGTGTCTATAAGATTCCTTGTAAAATTTGCGATAAAGTTTATTACGGTCAAACTGGTAAAAATCTCGAACTAAGATTAAAACAACATAAATATATTGAAAATAAAGTTGGTAGAATTACCGACAATATGAAAGTAAAAGGACACAAGTGCAACTAATGTGACATTTTATTGTGGCAACGTTTCGCTCTCCAGGAGCTTTATCAGCCATTACAAACAATACATGGACACAGAGGGTATATAAAGGCTCAGAGTGAGGTGAATACTAGTAGGTACCATTTCGATGTTCCCCTAGTGGTAGTAGTAGTAGTTAGTAGTAGTAGTAGTGGTAGTGACAAAAGTAATACGATATGGTAGAGCAATTAATTCGTACCTGAGTAAAAGGATATAAAAGCTATTACTTGGGTAACATAAAAATAGTTGGACAAATATAAACTGGAATGAGGCAGGTTGTATCAGTGTTCACTCTCTGTGCTTTTGTTGTATAACAGGAGAGACTATTTTGATGGCAGGGTTTACTGTTTTCAGGAAAGGATTCTTGCTAAGACTTCGGAGATGGTGAACTGCCCTTGTTTTGTTTAAATTTATTCGAAACAGCGATCAGTGCTGATTCAAGGGCCCTTTCGTGTGCGGAAATTTTTTCTTTTTTCCTAATTGGGGCCTCTGAATTTCATAAGATGATTGGTGGAATTTCGGGGTTGTACACAGGCGTTGTTTAATTTCGTTCCACATGCGTATATGGTTCTTTGAGGCGGGGTCGAGGTTTTTGTTTTCACCTACTTTAGACTTGTCCCCCTCCACAGGGTATGTGTAAACTCCTGCTTTGACTGGTTCGTGGTGCTTGGGTTTTGTCCGGGTTAGATTTTATTGAAGTGGTAGAAGCGATGGCGACTCTGTGTTAGCTTGTGAAAGTATTTTTGAGACGTTTGGGCCCAACCGGGCTGTTGGGAAAAATTTGACTTTGTGGGAGCGGTGTTGATGGGGGAGAATTGATATCTGAAAGTCTTTTCTGCAGTCTTTATGAAAAAAAAGGAAAGTAACTCATGAATGTTTGGTAAAAGTAAGTTTTTTCCTCGTCAAGAAATCGGGACTACAAATTGGGTATGCTCTTAGGAAAAACCCGATGATGAGCCTCTTTTGGTCTTGGTATCTTGACTGGAATGAAGTGTGTGATCATTTTATTGGGGTTTCCCCGTAAACTTGAAATCTTAGGTTGTTGTTACTTTGTAATGAGGACGTCGAAAAAAAGGTAGTTGTCATTGGACTCTTCTTCTGTGTAAACTGAATCGTGGTTCAACTGCTTGAGCCTTGCCTGAAGATCCCCGAAACATCAAAACTTTTTGGGTTATTACGAGGACATCGCCCACGTAACGAAACCAAAGTGACGCTTAAAGGGTTATTTGGCGAAGTTTCGGACTCTAGGTGTTCCATTTTATAAGTTTGGCTGGGACGGCACTTTTTGGGACCCCTTCCCAGCCGGGTTTGTTTGTAGAGCTTGTTATTAAAGGAAAAAAGTTGAAGTTAACACAAGTTCAATCAAGTAAACAAAATCCCGGAGGTAAAGGGAAAGATTAAGGCCCTGGTTACTTTACGTCGTAGAACCTCGAGGGTTTTTTTTGGTAGGTACTTTTGTAAAGGGGAAGTCACATCCAAACTGCTTATTTTCTTGTTAGGATGGAGATTACGGATGCGGTTGAAAAGGTCCCCTGAGGTTTAAGATGAGCGGGGCTGAGGGTCCCCAGAAGGCGGAAAGATTTTGGAAAGAACTCCGCTAGTTTGTGTGGAGCACTGCCTATTCCCTGACGTGATTGGTTTGAGAGGAAAATTGTGTTTATGGTTTTGGGGTAAACCATACATTGTGCGGGTTTAGGGTTGTTGGAAAACAAGTCAGAAGTTTCCCCCTTCTCTAGTGTTTTTTGATTTTTGTCGGTTTTTGTAAGAAAGTTTTTGGTGAGCGTCTCCCACGTTGAGTGCGATGGGTTCGTAAGTAGATTGTCATTCAAAAGGTCCAATATTTTAGTGTTGTATCACGGGTGTTAGTATGACGACCCACCTCCTTTGTCGGCGGTGG